GCCCTGTAGTAAAGTTTGTGTTAATTATGAATTGAAGATATACATAATTTGCTTAAACAACCCCCCTGCCAAAGATGACAAAACACAAGTACCAAAGCATAGTGCACCAGATAAATAACTGTCATGATTCATGTAGCTTTGAAGCTCTTGTAACAGTGGAGTAAGAAGAAACAAGGTGAGTTTCAATAGCTTGCATATGTATTTGATAATATGTTCAATTTTTATTTTGGACTAAGCTGCTTATTAAGTCAGTACTTGACATAATAAAGGTGTATACTTGTAGTTTCTAATGCACAACACGTTATGAATAGGATTAAATACCAGAATTGGAAAAATACATAATTTTCAGGATTTTTGACATCTGTTACATTGGCCAAGAGTGACCACATGAAACATGATACAGTTAACTGTGTACAATGTCATTCATACAATTTTGTCAGAATGAATTCCTCTTATAGCAACAGAAATGTTACAATAAAAGCGATGGGGATTATAGATAAAGAGGTTTTATTGGTCAAAATATTTTTTCAGCATAAAATGACTTTTTGACCAAAACTAATATTTTTTTGCAGAAATTTTGGTCAATGTGCGCTCTCTCTCTCTCTCTCTCTCTCTCTCTCTCTCTTTTTTGAGTCATGATGATCTCCTGAAGACTAAAACCTGAACTATTTTTGGCAGAAGTTTTCGGTAAAAACATTTAGTTTTCAGGTTGTAAAAACCAAGCTCCCGTGGTTTTTTTTTTTCTGACAAAACAAATACTTTCAATGACAATTTAAAAAAAATCAAATTTTAAAATACTTCTGTGGAAAAATAATTGGCACTTTCAGTGAGCTCCAGCTGAAAGAACATTTACTTAAAATGATGTCTCTTCAATAATGCCCTGTTATTTTAAATACATATAACATAATTAATGACACGTCAAATAAAATACCAGCCATACTAACACAGTAACTTTGACAGGAACTCAGCCAGGCAAACACTTGCTTTCAATCCTTCATGATTACAGGAGGTAAACCCTCAGCCCTCTTCAATAGACCAGAAGAAATAGGTAGACAATCAGATATTAACCACACGGTCAGCAGGTTGTAGGAAGATTTTGGATTAAGTCATGTTTTAAGCAGGGAGGTGCGGAAGTGGCCAGACAGAAGAAGACCAGGGTGTCATTTTTCACTAGAAGGTTGGCTCTGTGCAGCAAAGGATCAATCTCTGACAGGAAAGGAGGCCAGAATTAGCATAGCAGAAGGACTGAGTGGGAGTATAGGAAGAGATGAACTCACAACATGGAGTGGATGGTGTAGCTAGAGAAAGGGAGAAGATGCAGTTTTTCAGTGATGCTAGTAGTGACTAGGGCAGTGGTCCCCAACGCGGTGTCCACAGGGTGGCGCCCGCTGGGGCATTTATGTGTGACCGCCTAGTGCGTCCCCACCCCGGGCGGTCTGGCAGCTCCGCGCAGCACCCACCACCCAAAAAGGTTGGGAATCACTGACCTATACAACTCTGTTCACCCCTCCGAATACCAGACATGTTAGGCTTAGTGAATGCTTGTAATATGCTTTGATGACCTTGGTCGAAAGATGTGGTAGAAATACAGATGAACCATCTAGGACTTTAATCTAATTGGTTCTTGTCTTAGATGTTACATGCTGCTAGTGACGATTCTATAATCCTACTATGGATTAGGGATGTTAAGCATCTGCTTATCAGATAGTCAACTAGTCCTTATCTGATAGTCAGTCAATTAGTCGATTCCCCCCCACCCCCCCTTTTCCCCTACCCACGAAAAGTTGGGGACCACTGGACTAGGGAACTGGTGAGTGTGATTAGGGGTAGGATGTGGTGGTTGTTTTGTGTGTGTGATGGTACTATAGCTAGACTTACAGGCTATGTCTACTCTGGCACCCTTTTCCGGAAATGCTTAAAACAGAACAGTTTTCCGTTATAAGTATTTCCGGAAAAAGCGCATCTACATTGGCAGGATGCTTTTCTGGAAAAGCGTCTGTGCCAATGTAGACGCACTTTTCCGCAAAAAAGCCCCGATCATTATTTTCGTGATCGGGGCTTTTTTTGCGGAAAACACTACTGTGCTGTCTACACTGGCCCTTTTCCAGAACAGTTTTCCAGAAAAGGACTTTTGCCCGAATGGGAGCAGCATAGTTTTTCTGGAAAAACACTGACAATTTTACATTAGATCGTCAGTGCTTTTCCGGAAATTCAAGGGGCCAGTGTAGACAGCCGGCAAGTTATTCCGGAAAGGCGGCTGATTTTCCGGAATAAGTGGCCAGTGTAGACACAGCCTCATAGTTTAATACTTTATAACAGGGGTGGGGAACCTAAGGCCCAGGGGATAGATGTGACCCCCCCCACCCATTTGCCTGAGTCTAGCCTCTGAGGCTCCACAGAATTGGGGAGCCTGCGGGTTTGGAGCACACACAATCTACTAGCCTGGGCCCCAGTAGGCTCTGGCGTGCGAGGGGAATGTGGGGAGTGTCTTTCTCCTTCTCATTCAGGGGCCGGGTCAGTGAGGGTTTGTTGTTTTTCTGCTTCTCACTTGTGTGCGGCTCCCACTGATTTTTCCCCCTACCAGTAAAAGGTTCCCCACCCCTGCTTTATAATGAAGCCAGAAATCTGCTGCACGCCTCAATATAGGCAATTGTTGTCGTTTCTGAAGCACTGTGTATCTAGGTGATCATAACATGAGGCAGTAGTTAGAACTGCAAAACCATTTGCACATAAAGCCAAAGCTTTAGCTAATGTTTTGGCTAGAAACAGAAAAGATGCTTTGTGACGCTACAAAGGTCACCCCCTCCATGTTGGAATGCAGGACTCTGCAGAGCAGAACAGCTCCTGCTCACAGCTGGCTCTGATTTCTGTGGTATTGGATGTACGTGGAGTGTGAAATAAAGTTATTTGATTATTAAATATAAAGCTCTCCTTGCCTCATCATGAAGAACGCCACAGGTCTGAGACCAGCAACAGAAGTAGCCAGCTGTTCGTCTTCTCGTTTTATCCATGATAATTAGCAAGAGTAATAAGGCGTTGACTCATTTTTCAGGCTGTTAAAAATGATCAGAAAGTTTTCCCTCTCCAGTTATCAGCTAGCTAAAGTTGCCTTTGTTTAGTGTGCACTGTGCTTGCATTGTTAAAATCATTTTTAATCACCCAATGAGATAATTTTATTGATATGTTCTTTTAGGCATGTGCATTAAATGTCAGCCATTGAGAGTCCATCTTAGGTCAGAATGGGTATATTCCTGACCTGGGTAGTTACAGGAACCCTTTGGCTATTGCTCTGTGTCTTCCTCGCAGACCTACAATAAAGATTTTTAAATATTTCCTGGCTTAATGTTTAACCGGAACTCACCATTTTGCAATTGAACTGAGACCAATTCCTGCACATGGCCTCAAAGAGGAGAAAACCATGAGGACAGGAATCAGTGGCACAGTTATGACAGGAAAAGTGGGTGGGCCCCTATTTCAGGTGGGTGGGCAATGATGAGGGGTGGGTAAGGGATGGAGGGCCTGGGAGAGGGCAGGAAGAATCAGGCGTGCAGGAGGGATCCAATGCCATGGTGAGGGGGAGGAACGGATCTGGTGCCCTGGGGGAGTGGGACAGGAAGGGCAGAGGACAGAGAAGGGACCCAGGGCCCTAACAAAAGGGGGCAGGAGGAATGGGGGACCTGCCTCCCCCACCTGCCTCTCACTGCTCAGCACGTACCCAGGGCACACTGGCTGTAGGGGGTACCCATTGGGCAGAGGGGGACCTTGCTGGAACTTGAACTCCACTCCCCCAGCCCCAGCTAGGTGTCTGCCAGCTTGGCTGCAGGTCTCACTTGCTGGCATGCCATGTGCGGCTGCCCCAGATTCCGGAGACACCCCCCTGCGGTTGGAGACTGGGGTAGCAGCATGGGGCGCCGCGAGGAAGACATCCAACTGGGATCAGGAGTCCCAGATGGGATTTGGGGTGCGCCAGCCACAAATTGGGTGGGCATGAATGCTGTGTGGGTGGCCCATGCCCCTGGACTGGAAGAGTGACTTTCAGTGGAAAATGTATAAGTTCCTACTGACTCAGCAGGAGAGAGACGTCCCCTCTTTACTGCTTAGAGTCATGAGGGCCTTCCTTGGTTTCTGCACTAGGGTTGGGCATGCTAACCACGCTGCAAATTCAGCTACTGGGTCTGCTTTAATTCACTAGACAATTTGTTGTGTGTGTCAACAAACCAGAGGATGAAGGAGAAGTAGATGAACGAAGGTGGGGGGATGGCTCTGCGCTCCCAGAAGCAGAGTGCACCTCATGTGGAAGGGGTGGGGCTGAGAGTAGCTGGCCCTCTGTGCCTCCCAGATCATGGCATCCCCCTCCCCAGCACTGCCTGGAACATACTGTGTGGCGCTCCCACCTCTCCAGGCAGCCCTAAGAGCTGCCCAGAGCATGCTGTGTGGCACTCCCATGGCAATTTAAAGGGCTCAGGGCGATGGGCGCTGCTATTGCTGCAGTAGCAGCAGCCAGAGCCCCACGCACCTTTGAATCACCCGGGTCTGTGGCAACTGACTCTTTTGCCCCCTTTGTTGGGGGGAGGGCCTGGATCTAAGTAATTTAGAGTTTTAAAAAGCCTTTGACAAAGGCCCTAACAATAGGCAGCAGAGTCATGAGGTGATAAGTAAAGTCTCTCATTGCTTGCAAACTGCCTGAGGGACAGAAAACAAAGAGAAGGGATAAATGATCAGTTTTCAACTTGGCAATAGTAGGTTGCCGAATTTCATGCTCATGCTGAAAAAAGGTTCCAGGATTGTCACTGTGTGTACCACGCTGATGTCTAAAATGACTCTTGAATTTGTGTGAAGTGATGGAAACAGTGACAAGCAGGGCTGAGAGCTCGTTTCATTCAGAACAGCACCATGTTCAATTCCTGGAATTCATTGTCTATTACCATCCTACTTTTAAGTTCTCAGCCATTTTGACTTTATGAATTACAGTTGTGCAAGAGCTTTCATCTACTGTAAGCAGGTATCTATGCCATCCCAAGAGTCGTAAACCATTGTGATATCAGAGGTAACTCAACCAATCACTAGTCTTACTCTGCAGATAATTTGCATACAGCAGTTGTATTGGTTCTGTGAGGCACGCTGCGCTGGTGGACTACTTGGCCTGATTGCCACACCCAAGAAACAGCAAGGGCTTTCAGTTACCAATATAATTATTAACTACATACATATGTTTAATGTTTAAAGTTGCAAGATCAAGCACGAAAAGGTAGGAAGAACCCGAAGTAAAATTGCCTGTGTAGCATAATTCAGTCCTTTTGTGCATGTGAGCTATGATCTAGTGGGTTTACATTATTGCTTGCTATTTGTTTTGATTGGCTCAGGACCCCAATGTGGTACACATTCTATAAACATATAGGAAGATAGGATCCCTTGGTGTAAGAACAGAAACATTAGCAAAGCATCAAAAGGAAATTTTGTTTTTGCAATATTTTCTAGAATTTCCCCCAAATACCCCCTTTTACTGTACCATCACTTTTCTAGGAGCCTCGATCACCGTGCTCCCCCACTGCTGACCCCCCACACTGCCCTTTTGCCACCCTGAAAACCCCGTAGAAAGTGATTTAGGGTCTGTGGGGGAAGGGAGGAAAGAAAAGTTGCCAGTCAAATGTTGCTTGTGTTTCAGTGACTGAAGAGGCTTGCTTATACTAACAACAATTTACTATTTTTTGAACAAGACTTTGAACACTAATTAAATGACACAATAATGATCTCACTTAGTGCTCAGTATAGATCAAGTCAAACTGTGTTCACGGTTTAATCACAGGTTGCTGACACGATGCTGAACGTGATGTGTCTTGATATGTCATAAAGTTGAGGTCAGTATCACATCATCTATTTCAGTTGTTCAGTTTCATTCAAACACTATTTCTTTTTTAAATGTAGATAAGGACAAAGTGTATGAAATCCTGGATCTACTCAGGCCAATTACAAAACTTTCACTGACTTCATTGAAGCTAGGATGTCACTCAAAATATCTAAAGACCTCTCCTGCTTCTTGGCAGTCCTTCGTGGCAGCTGGAGCTGCATTCCCCATGGGTAAGGTCCAGGGAGGGGGGAATCTCTCACCTTGCCTGAGCCTCAAAGGTCTCTTGAGCTTGGACCAAGCATCAGCATGCTGCTGTTTTTTTGTTTTCAGATTGAAAGGCAGTAAATATTTTTAGTTATCTCTAGAAAGCATCCCTGCAAAAATTAATTGTACACTGCACACGGCAGAGATCATTTGCCTTGTATAAGGCAAATTGCTTACCTTTACAGGGGTGAGCAGACATAGTTACCTGCAGATAAATGAAATAACTAAATATAGCAGATGAACAGGAAGCACTGCCTAGGAAGACACCAGTAAGCATCACATATGATCCACTCTTGGAAATGTTAGCAGTTTTAGACAGAAGAGTGTCTGTAAAAATGGCATGGAAAGGGTCTATATTTTCACAATGATTTCCTGGCATTTACATGGGTTTCTTCTGGCTGGGGGCTGATCTGGCCTTTAGCAGATAATGGGATTAAGGATGCATGAGGCCAAACAATGTGCAGCTGTCTCTTCTATAGCTGTACTGACCTTCCAGAGAAAGTAGTAGCAGCAAAAACGTCTTTTTGTAAGTAAACCCACCTGATTCAAAGATGCACCAGGGAGCAGCTATGTTTACTATTTTACAGGTGCTTTTCTGAGAGTAGCCATGCTCTAAAATAGGTTTTAACTGGGTTTCTGGGTAGAAACCTTATTCAGGGGTTAGTTGTACTTTCAGATAAAGTCCATAATAAATGGTGGTGTAAAATCAAAGCAATACAAGAGCTGCAGCAGGAGGTGTCCTTTATAGGGTGCAGCTTACCCCTTCTTTCTGTGTACCAGATGCAGGCTGTCACCCCAATTCTCCTCCTTGCCTGACCCCCTCTTCCCTTCCTTCCATCTCTGTGTGCTCCTAGGGGAGTATGGTGGAATCAGTCCTTAGCTTCTGCCCACATTTGAAGAATATTTTAACTTTTTGCCTTATTTGGGTTTGCTAACTGTATGTGAGCCATTTTATGAATCAACATAGGTCCATTAACTTTATAGAACTATGGGTATGTCTACACTACCACCCTAGTTCCAACTAGGGTGGTAATGTAGGCAACCGGAGTTGCAAATGAAGCCCGGGATTTGAATTTCCCGGGCTTCATTTGCATAAAGCCGGGCGCCGCCATTTTTAAATGTCCGCTAGTGCATACTCCGTGCGTTACTCCTCATTTCACGAACTAAGGTGGTAGTGTAGACATACCCTATGCTATTTACATAAACCTGAGGGTATGCCCAGTATATGTTAACCTAAATAGAAAATATAGGGCCTGATTCTGTTCTATATGACTTTTAAACGAGTGTGTAACTTCTTTGACTTTGGTGCTCTTTCTCCTGATTTATACCAGTGTAACTGAAATCAGAATTAGGCCCATGTTTTTTTACATCATGATTACTGTAAGGATGTTAAGTATCGTGGAATCAACTAATTGAATAATCAATGCATTTTTGCATCGACTATTCGATTAGTCAATAGAGCGGTGCTGCCCCTTTGAAATGCCACTGCGGCATTTCAAACAGGCAGCACCGCATGGAGCCTGGGGGTCAGCTGGGGAGTCCCCAGCTGACCCTGGGCTCCAAGCAGCACCGTTGCTTTGAAATGCCACCCATGGCATTCTAACTGGCAGCACTGCATGGAGCAGCTGAACCCAGGCTCCCTGTGGTGCTGCTGCTTTGAAGTACCCCCCTCCCCTGCCCTCTCCTCCCCTCCTTGCTGCCTCTATCTGATAGAGGTAGCAAGGGGTGTGGGGGGAAGCGACTAGTTGACTATCCTGTCTACTAGTCCTTAACATCCCTAGATTACTGGCGGATAAAAAGAAAATCGTGAAACAATATTATTAATGAAATAATTAAATACGCCTCTTGAGAGGTTTGAAGTTTAAAAATACAGGTGTCATTGCGTGGAATACAGTAGGCTGTGCCAAAGATAGATTGATTTTAATATTTCATACCTTTTCAAAGCATGTCCCATATCCAATGTGTACTTTTCATTTGATTTTACAATTTTTATTGAATGTTTCCAATCAGATGAAATGTTGAAAAATGAGAAATACTTCCTACAAAAAATGTCTTTTGGTTGAAATTTAAAACATTTTGAAACTTTCTGGACAGCTTTAATTTCCACACATAGCTGAAATCGTTTTCTTTTAAAAATAGTATGGATGCACTGTAATTGCAATAAATGCACTGTCCAAACTCTGTCACATTGTTTCTGTGTGACAGGTGAGGCAGTTCTCCTCATTTCTACAAGCATTCACTTTTCCAGCTTGTGCGTGTGCCCAACATGATGTCACCAGTAGTGGTAGCAGCCTTACATGATATATTCCCATTAACACAGAAGACTGCACAGTCTGGTTTAGTGCAGAGGAAGAAGCTACCAGGAATCTGGTATTTAGTATCTGGTTATTCTTACATGTTTTAAAAATCATTCAACATCTGGGGAATTTTAATGGTGACATTTTGGCCCTACTGAAGTCAATGGGAATCTTGTTGCTGACTTCAACAGGGCCATGATTTGGAAGCGTGAAAAATCAGTATTCTGTCCACAGTCAACATTTGTAAAGTTTCATTGCTCATAACTGGGCAAAGTTTTTATAGTTCAGCTTGACTTTTGATTTATTCAATATAATAAAAGGTTCAATCCTGAAATTTCTACTTAAGCAATATGGTCTCTGATTTTAGTTACTGATGGGGTTAAGAAAAAAGTTTAAATCTAGATCCAAACTTTCCCAGAGTTTTAGAAGGTTTGGGCTGATCTGGGCCCATCTGTGTTCTGATCTGGGCCCATCTCTAATTTCAGTTACCATTCTAGCTGAGAGAGGGTTACAGAAATGGGCCCTAACACATATCCTTGTGATTGTACTGAGTCATCTATGCAGACAATCCTAGAATGTCCGTATTTTTAAATAAAATCTAATTACTACTGTTTATAGATGTAGGAAAAACTAGTAAATAAGTAAATTAAACCAAATGATTCATGCCCCATTGCCTATTTTTCTTAGTGTTTTCATGTTAAATTACTATGTTTTGGAGGTGAACAACCTGGCTATAAATAAACACACCAATGTGAAGCTTAGAATACAAGCTCTTAAACCTGGCTTTTTTTATAAATGTTGGTTTGGACGAAGTCATCAGTTTTAAAAATAACAAAAAGGAAAAGAGCAAAACAGAAGTTTTTTGGTAACAGGTGACTCTCTTTTTCACACTTCAACACCTAAGAAATTCATGGCCTGCTTTTGCATTTCTTCTCACCCAAATGGAGTCAGCAGGCAGACTTGGGTGCCCCCCAAAATACAATATCAGCTCCGTTATTTTTACCAATATCACAATGACATTTTGCTGGCTGTTTAATCATATTTAGTCATAATAAAAAGAGACATTAATTTTTGTATGGAAGACCCTTTTTCCTCTCCAATTAGATTATGAATTTTTGGGGCATAGACCATGTCTTATTATGAATATGTACAGCATCTACCACCCAAGGTATGTGATTTTGGATGGTTTCTTTGGGCATTATTGCAATAAAAATAATAAAGAATATTTCAACACATACTAAATACATTGTGTGAGAACTGTTTGCTTCTTCTTCAACTGATGGTCTTACAATAGTATGCCACTGAGGGTTTATGCATGTGCACCATGCATCCAGCACTGGAGATTTTTGAAGTAGTACTATTGGCCCATGCATGTTTCCTGGATCACAGTTTCTTCCAAAGAAATAAAGCATGGGGCAGACCAACTGTGTCTCCATTTCTGACCCAGACCATGCCATGATAAGAAGGACCTATTAGTGTCCTCTTGCATGTGATGTATATTGAAAAAATACAATTGTACATTGTTTTATAGGGTTTTTTTAACCACTTTTATAGTAGTTCTAACTAGCTTGATAGTTTAGGAGAATTTGGGTTTCTTTTTGGAAACTTTTGTTTCTCATGAACACTCCCCCCCCCTTACCCATGTGTGGGCACTAGATTATGTCAACCCTCCCCTCTTCCCGGTTTTAAATTCTGTGTGTCTTGCCTGCATTCCGTCAGGGTTAGTAACAAACTTCAATGCTGCCTCTACTGCTTGAGAGAAGCCTGCATTTCAGCCAAGTGCAGTATCTGCCAGTCTATCCCCACCCTTACTCAAGAACATTGGGCTCTCTGCCTCCAGAATCCTCATGGAAGTCACTGTGAGATCTCATTTGTACCCTGGTCAGGCATTGGCCTGAAACTGCCAGGAGACAGTCTCCAACTTTGGAGTTGAAGGCTAGCAAACCCTGACAGGCATTGGCCTGAGACTGCCAGGAGACTGTCTCCAACTTTGGAGTTGAAGGCTAGCACTAGGTCCTATTGGGGACATAAGAAAGCACATACCTAAGCATTGCAGTAAGTATTCCTCTAGACCTAGGCAGGGGGAGACTCCTTCCATCAGTTTCAGTCAAGGGGATGAAGTGTGCCCTAAAGTGCACAAGCATGAAAAGAAGTAGCACAAATCAATGGATCTGCCAGTACAGAGTGTGAAACAGAATACACAGTCAACATCGGCCTCCCTCAGAGCTAGAGAGCCAATCACTCTGGGGAAGACCAGCATCATTCAGTTCCTATACCAATTCCAGGAACTGAAAAAGTTCCTTTAGAATCATAGGGTTGGAAGAGACCTCATGAAGTCTTCGAGTCCAACCCCCTGCTAAAAGCGGAACCAATCCCAACTAAATCATCCTAGCCAGGGCTTTGTCATACCGGAACTTAAAAACCTCTAGGGATGGAGATTCCACCATCTCCTTAGGTAACCCCTTGCAGTGCTTCACCGCCCTCCCTATTAGTTTTTCCTAATATCCAACCTAGATCTCCCCCACTGCAACGTGAGACCATTGCTCCTTGTTCTGTCATCTGTCACCACTTAGAACAGCCTTTCTCCATGCTCTTTGGAACCCCCCCTTCAGGTAGTTGAAGGCTGCTATAAAATCCCACTTCACTCTTCTCTTCTGAAGACAAAATAAGCCCAAATCCTTCTAGCCTCTCCTCATTAGTCATGTGCTCCAGCTCCCTAGTAATTTTTGTTGCCCTCCACTGGTCTCTCTACAATGTGTCCACATCTCTTCTGGAACTTCCAGAACTGGAAGCAATACTTTAGATGTGGTAAAGAAGAAGAATCACTAGCAATGCTCCTACTAATGCACCCCAATATACTGTTAGCCTTCTTGGCTACAAAGGCACACTGTTGACTCATATCCAACTTCTCATCCACTGTAGAACTGTCCCCAGGTCCTTTTCTGCAGAACTGTTACTTGGCCACTCTGTCCCCAGTCGGTAACAATGCTTGGGATTCTTCTTTCCAAAGTGCAGGACTCTGCACTTGTCCTTGTTGAACCTCATCAGATTTCTTTTGGCACAAACCTCTAATTTGTGTAGGTCATGCTGGATCTTGGAAGGGTCTTCCAAGAAGACTTTGGGGAGGTTTGGAAAAGTACCAGAGCCCCAGAAAGTGTTTGCTTTGGGAAAGCCAAGGTTCCCATGCTTTCCGAGGCTCTCTAATTCAAGAGACACAATATCTACAGCACTAGACATGTCATATCTGAGGCACTCCTTACCAGTGTTCCCTCTAAACCAGTGGTTCCCAAACTTTTTGGCAGCACGCCCTCCTTTTCGATTTTTGAAAAACCCTCGTGTCCCCCCTTCCAAATGGCAGGAAAACTTGTTGAGCAAAAAAAAAAAAAAAAAAAGAACTGAACAGGGCAGTAAAACTTGATGGAGGGGGCTCCCCCTGGAATTTATTCACACACCCCCAGTTTGGGAACCCATGGTCTAAACTGCATGCAATGGCACAACTTCACAGGAGATTAACCGGCCCTGCCCAGCCAGTCAGCTCAGTGTCAACTTCACAGGAGATTAATCGGCCCTGCCCAGCCAGTCAGCTCAGTGCACAGAACTCTGAGCCTTTGACTGGGTGGGGCTGATTAATCATCTGAGAGACTGTGCGGCCATGCAGTTTAGAGGGAACACAGCTCCTTACCCCATATTCCGGGGGTACATACCTCTGACATCTTTGAGGGTACCACTGATGGAACTAGTTTCTGCATTTTCATCTTTGGAGGACTCAGATTGTCCACCTGTCATTATGAGTACAATGGAGGCAGAATCCTCCATTCCAGCTGCTAGATCCACAGTTTTCCTGCACTATGGGGCCCTCCTCATCTCTCATGCTGGCCCTATTGGGGATCCTGGTCCCAGTATCTGCCCTTGGAACCTGTTTGTTCCACTGGAGGCTTTGCCTATTTCATAGTCTCTGGCACCTTTGAGAAGCTGATTGGAACCAGCATATCTCCAAAGGTAGTGCTGGTACAAGAGAGATTCCTGTCATCCTCACCTGATGCAGCAGTGACTTTGACATTCCACCCCCACTTCCTTCTGATTACTACTACAACCAGTTCCTGTGTAGACTGGCCAGAGAGCTTCACATTCCCCTGGAGGAGATCCAAGACATTCAGCATGAGCTGCCATAAACTTCACTCATTGGTGCACAGCAGAGTCATTCTACCAATCAATCATGCCATCCTCAAGCCAGCTCCCACAGTTGGGCCTATGCCAGCCACATGTGCACCTACCTGAAAAGGGGCAGAAAAAATATGATGTACCAGCCAAGGGGTCTGAGTTTCTGTTTTCACAATACCACTCTACCCCAGTTCATCTGTGGTCCAGGCAGTGACTCAACCAGCTAAGCAACAGCCTCCATGCTTCATCCCATCTCACAGGGCGGGCACATGACTGGACCTTTTAGACTGCAAAGCCAGCCTGCAGTTCAGTACTTGGAAATATCCGGCGTTATTTGCTTGTCATTTATAACCTACTAGCAGATTTAACCAGCATTGCTTGGGTCCTTCACTCAATTAATTGTTGTTGTTTGGAAAATAAAATGAAAATGTACACGCTTCATTTCCATCATTGCTCTGGGGTGAGGCTGGGGTTGAGGGGTTTAGTATGTAGGCTGCCCTGGGGAGAAAGGACTCCTGCAGCAGCTCAGAGCCAGTTTAGAAGTGCCTCTTCATGACTGCTGCAGCTCCAGCCGGCACAGCTGGGGGAAAAGTGCATGTCCTCCTTCCCCGGCAGGTCCAGGTTCATCTGTCCCCTGTGCTCTCCAGCCAGAATGAGGAATGTGGCAGGCTGTGCACTTTCCCTTTGCTCCAGACAAAGGGGAACAGACAGTAGTGTTCCAATATGAATTGGGGGAGGGGAGTGGAATTGACCCTCCCCCACTCTGCCTAAAGGGCACTTGGGGGTGGGAAGGTTAGTGCTGGGGCAGTCCTGGATAGGGGATACCCCCAACCAGCCCCTTTCACCTGCCTGATGATTCTGTCTCTTTTTTGTATGGTTTTATGAGAAGCAATCCCATTTCTGGCATATTACATATTCCTAGCACAACCAAACCCTTATACAGTTTAAGTTATAATAAGAGGAAGCTGTATACCAAATTTGGTGGCCGTAGCTCTTACCTTTTAGAAGTTCTTGATCAAACAGATAGACAAGCTCTCTAAAATATACAGTAGATTCAAATAAATTACTAATGCAATACACGTACTCAGAGACTACCAACAAAGCCAACATTTATTATGTCTGCTCATGCACGACCCATGAAGAAATACGTATATTAATATTCATAGAGAGAAAGAGGGGACAGTGTTTTGAATCATAGAGTGTGAACATTCACACATTCTTATTATATTTGTTCAAATATGAATTGAAAACATCCAAGGATTCTCTTCTCTTCTGAAAATTACTCAAAAAGGTGACTTTTCAAAGAAATGCACTGAACTCCAATCCTCATGCACATTAAAAATGTTTCTCATTTTGTTAATACTCAGAAAGCCTAAAAGGCTAAATGATTTAAATGCCTCAATAGTAAATACATATGGCACTGAGATTCCTATATATTGTGTATATATAATAAAGGGTCTCCTGATGTCTTTCTGAAATTATAACCTTCTCTTGTGAGCTGTTTGGATGATACATGAAATTGCAACATTTTCTTTGAAATTGCCCAAATAGCGAGTGAAAGGAGATGACCAAGGAAGAACTCTTTGTGAGACTTGAAACGCAGACTAATTGTATGGCGGTTGAAAGCGAATAGGTAAGAAGCTATAGTTATTTTTAACTGCCTACATTTTGTTCTGCCATTGAATGTTATTAATACATTTCTACTTTTTCAGTGTCACTTATGCTGGGGTACATATGAAGACTCTTTAGCACAAGGCATTTCTTTGGAGTAGGACAAGAGCAAGTGATGTGATTAGGTGGGTTCAATGGCAGTTCTTTATAGTGGACTTTGAATGTGTTTTCTTGCTATAGGTTTTAAAAATTAAGCAGAAGAACCTTTTGGCTGAAGTCATGGGAAAGAGATGGGCTAAATGATTCAATAGATATTTTCCATCTCTCACGCCTAGAATATAAAAACTTAAAAAAGAGTGGTCCTATAGCACCTTAGAGACTAACAAAAAAATTATATTGTATAATGAGCTTTTGTGGACACAACCCACTTCTTCAGATGATATGTGGACTTATTTTTCACGTGAGATGGTGAAAAGTTTTTTTTTTTGCGGGGGTCATTGCTCTTTCACATGCTAGCTCTATCATACTTCTGTTGGTTCTATGCACATCTCTTAAACCACTGCAGCAAAGACAGATCTAATATGGTGTGGGTAATACAATGGAGGTAGTTCACCAGGGTTAGCCTCTGGCGGGCCACTGCCACTTTCTTTACCTGCACCTCGACAGGTATGGGCACGTGCACCTCCCATTAGGAGCAGATTGCCATTCTTGGCCAATGGGAGCTGTGTGAAATGGCACGGACCGGGACACCACTTCCCACAGCTCCCATTGGCTGGGAACAGTCATCCATAGCCAATGGGAGCTGCAAGCACCCGTACCTGCTGAGGTGTAGGCAAAGAAAGTGGTGGCAGCCTGCCAGGGGCTAACCCTGGTGAACTGTATCTGGCCTGCTGTCTGATTATTGCCCACCAGTGATCTAACAGAAGTTTGACCATTGCCAAAAAGTTTTTTGCAGGCTACAAACATTTGTGATTTCCCATTCGCTGAATCTAAAAAGTAAAATATAATAAAATTCTGCAAGTTCGGACTCACATAAAAGCAAGATCAATTTAGTAACTGTAATAGTTAATATTGTCTGGTGTTAAATTTTATAATATAGTGCTGCAAGTATCTTAAATTAAATAACAGATATAGATTTGTGTATTTTGGAAAAGCTTTTTCTTTTCACACTAATGATGAGAAGTTTCCCATTTGCTCCTAAATGGGCATTATTTTTGTTCCACTGTGGTTTTAGTACAGATGAGGGATGACATGTACTTTACAAGTCCTGAGAGCTCTGTCATGCAGTGTGTTTATTGATTTTTGTATTAGCTGGCCAGTTCACTAATATGTTAGTAGATGTGTGGATACAAGTCACTGTAATGCGCACAAACTAAAGTTAGACCTGTGTAGACCACCTGTGTAGACAGGCCCCTTGTCTTCACAAGGCAACAAAAGTAATACACTTACTCTTGATTGACAGAACTTTTTTGTCATTCACAAGTGCTTAACCCCTGCCTCCCTGTGAACAACAAAGATTTGCCCTGGCAAGTGCAAATGTGAATGCTGCTTTGTCAGCAGAAGTGCTCTCCTGCTGATCAAGCAAAAGCCACTAGTTGAGGGTAAAAGTATTTTGTCCGCAGAAATGCTGAGAATCAGCCTTCACACATGCTGACGTTAGCAACGGGGCTGTGTTGCTAAAAGCTGTGTAGTGTAGACAGACCCATAAACAAAAGTTTACTAGACTTTTCTGATCAGGCATCTGATCTACCATTTTTGCTTTCCTTGGGGAATAACGCTTATTTTGAAATAGTTATTTCAAAATAGCATTAGTGTGGACGTTCTACTGCTGCTATTTTGAAATAACTACTCTCCAGAATAGTGATAGAAATGTAGCCGTGTTAGTCTGGTGTAGCTGAAACAAAATACAGGACTATGTAGCACTTTAAAGACTAACAAGATGGTTTATTAGATGATGAGCTTTCGTGGACCAGACCCACTTCCTCTGATCAAATAGTGGAAGAAAATAGTCACAACCATATATACCAAAGGATACAATTAAAAAAAGTGAACACATATGAAAAGGACAAAAAGGTTGAGAGTAAAAATTGAAGAAGGCTCTTATTTCATCTGAAATGGATTATCATTCCCTATGATATTAGAGGTGGGGAAAGGTGGATGTCTGTGAGCTAATGGTATTAGAGGTGATAATTGGGGAAGCTATCTTTGTAATGGGTAAGGTAGTTGGGGTCTTTGTTCAGCCCCCCGCGGAGAGTGTCGAATTTTAGCATGAATGCCAGTTCAGAGGATTCCCTTTCAAGTGCAGATTTGAAAGTCTTCTGAAGTAGGATGCATGTGATTAGGTCATTGAGACAGTGTCCTTTCTGGTTGAAATGGCAAGAAACTGTTTTTTCTTTGTGATCCTGTCTAATGTCTGTTTTGTGGGCATTGATTCTTTGGCGAAGTGTCTGAGATGTTTGTCCAATGTACATAGCAGACGGACACTTTCGGCACATGATAGCATAAATTATATTTCTGGATGCGCAGGAATATGTATTCTTGATCTTATAACTCACTTGGTTAGGCCCAATAATGGTGTCAGCAGAGTAATTGTGTCTCCAGAGTAATTTGAAGTAATTACTCCCCAGTGCTTCCTGGGGCTTTAACTTGAGGTAGTGTGTCCACAATAACAGAACTTCCCTTGGACTAATTCTAAGGCTCCCCCATAGTGGGAACATGCTATTTCAGGAGTTTTGAATGTAGTTATTTTGAAATAATTTCCTAGTGTAGACATGCCCTATGTTTTGCCTCAGCATTAGTAAAAACAGTAACTTTCTTACTACTTGTTATTCTTTTTTACCTTAAAGATCTTGTTTAAATGAAAGGATGAAACTGTTACAAAGTGTGACCTGTGTTATAGAGATCAGATTAGGTATTGTACATGTATCTCTTCTGGTCTCAAAATCTATGAAAAAAAATGTAAATAGTAAGTGTCACGTTTGTTAATGCTATGGATCAAAGTATAACTGAGAGGGAAATAAACCTTGCTCTGAATGTTTTGAAAACTTGATGGCATTTTGCAATGTAAAATTTTCAGTTGAATGCTCAATTAAGTGTGCAATTGCTCATGCAAATTTCCATTTTCAGTAGTACTGGTTCTTAGTTAAATTACTCATGCAAAAATATTTTTATTTGAGCATGCAGCTGCTCAAGCATCTGGACCATATTTAGTACTTAAGTTAAATCCTTTTGACAAGTTAGCTATGCTATCTTTCACACCAATATTGTTTCTTATTTAACAAAGCTAGCATGGAATTACTTAATTTTGTTTCTTTTATCTAGTATGTCTCATCCATATGATGGGAGAATTTCCCACCAGAAGTGCCACAGAGTCCTTCCTTGTAGAAATTTGTGGGGAGCACCCCACCCTCTTCTAGTCCTCTTCTGATGGGGTAAAAGTATGGACACAGAATCTACGATTAAAAAAAAAAAATCTTGAAACATCACAAGCTAAAGAGCTGCCTATTGGTTACTGTTGAAGAAAAAGGGTCTGCATAAGGCAGTGAGAGGGAGCAAGAACCCCTTACATTGCTGCACTAGACCCAACGTCTGGATAGGCAGGAATAAGCAGGTACACTCAGCTGTTTAATCCTTCCCCACAGCAGGTGGGCAGGCATCATGGGCTTAGTGGTGCTGGCTAGCAAGGATGGGGTGGGGAATGTGCAAAATGGTGTCCCATCCTTGCTTGCTAGCCAGCACCACTAAGCCCATGATTCACAGGTGGTAGAAGCAAACTACAAATCCTGACTCCTGGGGGCAAAAAGCGACTGTCCTGGCCAAAAGAGGACATATGGTCACCCCATGCTTTTTGTTGAAGAAAAGGTATTTTATGATTTAATACAGAGAGAATTGGTCTGTCAAGAGGCACGGTGCCCCCGCCTAGCCCTTTGTCCATTTTATCATGATATGCGATGGCCCATGAGGCAGTCAGACATTAGACGTGGCTGCCACAGACTATGTATTTGTTTTTCTCCATGACCCACAAAGTGCATGAGGGGCAGTCACTGGGTCTGGCAGGAACCCACAAATCTGTTTTGCCAAATTTTGCCAGGATTTGAAGTTCATATTTATTCCAACGCAGAAGGCAAATGAGGCCTTTTGATATTTGTTGAGAAAAACACAAGGGAGACAGAGCCTCAGAATAGTCAGTAGCTAGGTCGGTCTTTTTGGATGTGGAAAATCCCAACTCATGTCCCTGAAATGAACCAGGCAGTCCAGGGACTTGTCCTGAGGCTCCTACCTATCAGGTTATAGTCAATTTTTGTTTCTGGCTCAATGAATATTTATACAAAGTGGAGTAGCTCTAAGTGGGGAGACTGGCAGTGTCTGAAATGAGCCTTCTAGCCTTTGAATTGGATTGTACTAAGCAAATAGTAAGAGCTTACCTTGGACTTCGCCGCTGAGCTTATAGTTTTCGACTACGTCTAGATTGCATCCCTTTTTCGTAAAAGGGATGCAAATTAGACGTATCGCAATTGCTAATGAAGCGGGGATTTAAATCTCCCCCGCTTCATTAGCATAAAAATGGCTGCCGCTTTTTTCGGCACAGAGCTTTGCCGGAAAAAAGTGCCAGTCTAGATGCGGATCTTTCGGAAAACAAAGCCTTTTCCGAAAGATCCCTTATCCCTTATTTTAAGAAAAAGAAGTCTGGCACTGGGCTAGCTAATCCTGAAAAATTCCACTGCTTGCTTCTTCTGTATCAGGTCATACTGAGTGGCATTCTAGGAGGACTAGTTCCCAAGGCTGCAGAGAGATGTATGCCTTGCACCGAAGTATGTTATGAAAGGAGCATGGCTATAAAGTGCTCCCTTTTCCTCTGTGAAAGTGATACAAGGGAAGAAGCAAGACCTATTGTATGTGTCTTTACAAACAGAGGTCTGGGTCTCTAGTCCAAGGGCCTAAGAAAACCTGGGCTGGTTACTTGGAGCTTCCCAAAATCGATGGAGCTAACCCAAAATCGATGGAGCTAACCCCATCCAGAGCAGGGTGGGCAGTTCTTGACTAATGGCTTTCTTTTGGAAAAATGCTAATTGGTTGAAACCAAAAACCAGTCTGTGGAGGAGAATAGTTGTGACAAATTTCTCACTTAAACAAAAAAAATTTTTTTTCAAATTTATTGAAAGACACTCCCTGCTCCAAAATTTTTCTAAACAAAGAAGTACTAATTTTTTGGACTTCATACAATGTTGTTTTGAAATGTAAGTTAACTGATATTAAAAAAAAATTAAAGCATTCTATACATTCATTTTCCTGCTTCACAATGTAGTCCCTCACAGAAGGTGTGAACTCCAGAATCCTTTGTTTTACATTCCAGCCATAACCAAGGGATCTACAAAAGGCTACTAAATACCTTGCCATAGGATTAACTTTTGTGGTAAGCCCTTCTTATACAACAAAGCTCTGGGAAAGGTCTGATTTAGTCTAATAATCATCATCATTATAATAATAATGACTATAAGATCTGCACCAGTGTTCACTGGGAATCTGTCAACTTCATTGACTTCACTGTGTTTTGAATCAGATTCATGAAAGAGGAACCATTTTATCTTCTACTGAAGTGCAGCTACCTCTGAGGTGGAAAGTGATAGCTGTGCATGGCTGCAGGAGCTCCATGCTAGGGCTGGGAAAGGAGCTGCTCCTCCCACAGCAGCCCTGACAGCTCCATGATGGAGATGGGGAAGGGGCCATTCCCCTCCCACCCCTGCTGTGGCAGCTAGATGCTGAGGCTGGGGGGGCACCTCTCCCCCGGCCATGGCAGCCAACCCAGGTCTGCTCTAGAGCTGCCACTGCTTCCATGGCTCCCACCTAACCTAGCCTAGACCTGCTCTGGCTGGTGCCCCTTCCCCAGCTGTGCTCACCAGAGCTGCAGGGGACTATGGAGATGTGCTTCTCACCTGGCCCCAAGCTGCTGTGATGAGAGAGGGCTGGAGGTAGTTCTCTCTCCCCAGGGCAATCTACACACCGAACACCTCATGCTCAGCCCCACCCCAGACTAACCCTCCCAGCCAGAGCCCTCAGCCTATACCCCAAATCTCTGCCCCAGTCCTGAGCCCCTCCCACATCCAAACTCCTCATCCCACACTGTCTTGTGCAGAATGACTTTTGTTCTGTGATACGTCGCCTCCATATTGGTGCATGTAACAAAAGTCATTCCACACATGGACATAGAAAATTAGAGGAAACACTGATAAGGAGAATATAACTTTGTAAACTGGCATCTGGCCGGAGACTGGGACTAGGATTTTTGAGCACCAAAGTGGCCAGCAGCATCGTTTTCCCTCTGTTCCAAAAAGCTGCATCTTCTGCATGCTCTTGCTGGGACATTGATTCCAAATTGACTCAGACAGAAGCACTCCTTCTTAATCTATCAACAGCACTCCCAGAAACACATTGTTTTCTTTTGAGGTCAGTTAGCCAAACACCAGCCAACCCTGATGCTGCTTGTCTTGTGAAATATCATAGCAGTGCATGACTCTGTGAGTGCAGTGCAGGCAACATGTAATTGCAAATGTAACTGATGTCCAGGTAGTGAAAGGTTATAGGCCCTGATCCTGCCAACTGCTCTGCACAGGCAGACCCCAAGCCAGTGCAGAGCAGCGTGCGTCCAAGCCACAGTCATAGAATTTAAGGCCAGAAGGGACCACCAGATTATCTAATCAGATCTCCTGTTTAGAACAGGTCACCATCACCACCTAGCCCTCACAAACTAAACCCAGCAACTTACACTAGCCCAAAGCCATGCAGAGCAAACTGCAGGATCAGGGTCTTACAAAAATTTTAAAATATGTTCTCTAGTCCAATAACTTGCAGTTGAGCTAGGGCGTAAGTAAAGCATTTCCCTTCAACTTGCTTCTTAGAAACTGAACATTCAGAGAATGTATTATTGTCAATGAATTCCATTGCAGGCCCATATGCAGGAATTTCTGGGGTGTGTGTGTGTGTGTTTTGTAAATGTGGACCACAATTTTTTTAAATATAAAGAAGTACAAAATAGTCATGCAATGAGTGTGCATAAGAAAGGTTAATGAAAAATTTGAGTGGAAACAATGATTAGTAAAAATGATTTTGTTATAACATATTAAAAATGTATGCAGTAATAAAGGGTTTCTAGAAATTACCTTCTGGGATCTGCTGTAATATCGTAAGTGAAAAACAATATTCCAAAATATTCCAGTCTTTGTTGCAGTGAAATTATGGCTTGTCAGTGTTATATGCATGAGTAACTATTTTATCTTGGTGAAATAAATTGCCAATTTAGGATAATGTGGCTAGTGTCTTCTTGACAGTGTGTTGAGCTGATTGGAGCTCTGGGGTGGGATAATCAGTATGGAAGTTCCATAAGCTCATTGCGTATGATTTCTTTTGTTTGCAAACAGCCAACTGGAAACTACAAACCTACTTCAACTGTTTCCTCCAAACTGGGACCAGTCGGCACTGCCTGACATAGGGCACACGGTACTCTTTGACCTATTAGCATGCGGTTCTTCCCCCCTTAAAGTGCAGCTTGTGAAGCCACCCCTGCGCCCCTAGAAACAGCCCCTGGTTCCCTGTGCTCACCACGTGTAAGGGAGCCGCATGGCAAAGCAAAATGGCATCAGCAAGTTGGTGCCGGCCGATAGGAGCCTGATGTAGCCAAAAAGCCAAACTGGAGGATTTTTTAAAGAGGCAGCATCCTTTTTTTCCCCTCAACCAAATCTGGCGGCTGGGGATTTCTTGTTGTTGTTCAACAACTTTTCCCCCTCGGCTCTTGGCTCTTTGCACTATATCCAGCACTATTTTTGCTCTTTGCCTGTAACGCGTTGGCCACCCCTGTATTAGGTCATTCAGGAAGAGAACTTTCTTATACTTGTTTCTTGTGAAAAGGTAGACCACTTAAAATACAACCGTCAAACTAATGAGAAGAGGTTCATGTGGTGTTTCCAGTGATGGAAGTGCAAGATGGAAATATATAGTTGGCATGTTTGATGTAGACATGAGCACTGGGCAGTGAATTGAGACCACCATCTCATTCCACAAGAGTACATGACTGTACAACCATCAGATCATAATGATTTTTTGACCATTTGCTCTTGACTCCAGATAAGGAATTAGACCATGAAACTCCATAGCTCAATGCTGATTTTATCCCCATAAGTATTTTTAAATGAGTATTCTGTAGCATTTCATAGTAAGAGGAATTCTGAAGATTATCAAGACATGTAAAAAATATTAGAGAAAAACGTATAGTTTTCCTCATTAAAATGTCTGCCACTCTGATTACAAAGCAATTTTTATATAATTTGCTACAGTAAAGATAGTATTACTTTCAAGTGTGAAGGGTGGGCCCTGGAAATGTTTGGAGTGTAGCAGAGCTTGTTTTCGTTATTGAAATTTGACCAAATTAATATCCATGCTTGTGTGCCCAGGTGAAACATACCCAAAACAACTAGAATATGAAAGCCTCGAAGAAAATTAGTTTTGGTTTACTTAAATAGCTTGATTCAAATTTTGGAAAAAAAAAACCCTCATAGATTTCTTAGGCTCAAATAAACCTTCTCTCCCTCTTCAGGTTTGGGGTGTAAACAGATTTGGACTGCGAGGGAGGGCTGGGAGCTGGCATGTGGCTTAGCTGGGCTGTGTGGGCAGAGACAGGGAGCCGGGGGCAGGCAGGGAAGGCAGGGAGCTTGAATGGGGCTCAGCTGGGCTGTGGGGGGTGGGGAGCTGGTGCGTGTCTCAGCTGGGTTGGGTGGGGGGCACTAGAGCAGGTGCATGGCTCAGCTGGGCTGGGGAGGGTCTGGGAGCTGGTTGGACCAGGTTGGGGCAACCATGAGAGGTGCCTTCGCACCTCCACCCTGTGGTACAGGTTGATTGGCTTCTGGATTTTTTAGTATATTTCAGTATTAAACAATTAATATGTTCAGCTAAGTAAGGGAAACTCTAGAAACAATCCAGGTAAAGGTACAGAAAGTTGAACATCTTTAGTGCAAAGCCCTTAAGATCTAAATCTTTCCTGTGTAACTTACTCTAATCAGCTCTGAATTCTTTCAAATTGTTTGTCTCCAGGCACAGAATTGGTGTATGCTGCTCTCCCTCAGAACAAATCACAGGAGTTGCCTGGGCATGATGCCAGATATACAAGGGCTGCATGTTGCAAATGCACTTCCTAGCCCCTTTGCCAGCATGAGTCTGACCTGGTGGATTTCATAGCAGTTGTGATTTTTAACATCTTGTTTATATAAATGAAAGACAGAATGTTCAGAAATACTCAGTGATTGGGTGTGTGTGTGTAACTCGATTCACCTTAAAGGGGCCTGACGTTTAGGCAGTGCTGAGCACTCACTGCCAGTCAGTTTCCTGCACTGTGTCTCAATGTGAGGCATACAAAGTTACTAGTCAGGCTTGAAGATTTAGGCCCCGAATTCAAGTTAACAGTGTCCTTGCAATAGACAGATGTAGTGAAGAAAGCAGTGCTGAAATGGGGAAAAGCCCTTTTCATACCTATGATGGGTTGCAAATTTGCAACTATTTTGGTTTCAGTTTCTTTGCAATAGAAATGCTTGTAAACAAGCCTCCCAAGTCTCATCTTTCTCTGGGCAATTTTATCTCTATATACATTACTGCAGGATCCTTCCCAGAATCATTGTTTCACTCCCAGATCTGCACTGCCAGGTCAGAATAATATGACTCAGTACCAATTGCATGTTAGGACTTTATGATTTTCATAAGCAACCTTTTCAAAATTTCAGCCATGTTTTGAACACCTACTCATTACAACGACCCTGCAGACACTTCTGCATTTGCTTAAACTGGCATGCATGTGTATTTGTACAATCAGGGCCAACAACGCTGAAAGATAAAAGAATCCAGAATGTTTTACTGTAGAGATTAATAGAAAAAAAAGAAGGGACATAATAGCATAGTAACAAATGATGTAGAGAAGAGAATAAGGAACTTCTTTTCACTCTTTGCCATAATTCAAAGACAGGACAATATTCAAGAACTTGGAATGGAGCTGATTTTAAACTGATAAAAAAGAAATCTCATTTTTTCCTGCCTAACACAATAATCCTGTGGAACTCATTGCCACAAGGCATCACTGGGACTCAAATCTTAGCAACATTCAAAAAAGGATTGGACCTTTATATGAGGGATGACAATGAGTAGTCGACTAGCCTAGGCTTATCAGCTAATCTAGTCGACGACTTGCATCCCTCCCTGTTGCTGCCTCTCTATCAGAGGCAGCAAGGAGGGGGGAAGCAGGAGCCGGTGCTGGGGGAAGCTGACGTAAAAGCTAGTCATCCCCCCCCCCGGCACTGGCTCTCAAGTGCTGCCTCCCCCCGCGCTGGGGAGGGCGGGGAGCCAGGGGAGGCTGCCACTCTGGCAGTAGCCCCCATCCATGGGGAACTTGGACCCCCCGTGGTCAGGGACTGTTGCCATGAAGCAGCCTCTGTCCAAAGAGGGTCCGAGCTCCCCACAGACAGGGGCTACTGCTGGAGCAGACTCTGTCCACAGTGGCCAAAGCTTCTTTGTGGCAGCCTTCACCGCTCCCCCCTCCAGCCGCCACCCTCCAGCAGCATCTGTCCTTGGGGAGCTCAGACCCCCTACGGACGGAGCTGCTGCCACCCTGCGCTGCTGCCTCTCTATCAGAGGCAGCAGTGTGAGGCAGACAGCAGCTGGTCTGTGTGGGGAGCTGGTTTTTAAACTGGCTCTCCTCATGGACTGGCTCCCACCTGGCACCCCATGCTGATACAGATACAGAATTGTTGAATAACTGCTAAGAATTCATGCAGTTAGTCAACTATTCTGTTATCTGCTATCTAACATCCTTTCTTTATATAGAGAAAGTCCAATTCCAGAGTGACACAAGTAAGGATTATCTTTATATAAAGAAAGTCCAATTCCAGAGTGACACAAGTAAGGATTAAAAAGATCAACTAGAAAATTGGAAGGGATAGAAACCTTCAGGCTTTAGGTCATAATCTGACTTTTGATTGACTGGAGTCAGGAAGAATGTTCCCTGTGGACAGGCTATTCCACAGTTGTCCACTGCAGTATTTGTTGCATCTTTCTCTGCAGAAGCTGGTGCTGGTGACTGTTGGGGATAGAAGAACAGCTAGATGGACCCTTGTCTGATCCAGGCTGGAAAAGCCAATGTTCTTAAATTAGCTAAACCTGATATCCAGAGGTGCGGAACACCAGCAGCTTACAAGGAACCAGGAATTTTTCCTAACTATTGAAGTGACCAAACATGCCCAAGCAGAACTTCAGCCAATGCCATGAAACATTTCCACACATGCAACAGAGAGTAGCCCTGTGAAAGCCCCAACCCAAACCACCTGACACATTAGGAACCAGGGATGCGGGAACAATTTGTATAGTGGGGGTGCTGAGAGCCACTGAACAAAACTGTAAACCCTGAATATGCTGGAAACTATTTGAAGCCAGGGGGTGTTACTGCACCCCCACCCCTAGTACTAGCACTTATGCCAGAAACTGCACCACATACAATAAAGCAGTTCCTGTGGCAACTCATTAGCAACACCCTCCTCGACGCACTACAAAATCTGAGCACACTAACCAATAAAGAAACCTGTCACTTACACACGAGCAAAAATATTGTGTCTACATGCCACTTATATCAGCCAGAAGAGACCTAAAAGTTGCCATCTATTTCCAAGATACACTTAATTATAGTTAAAAATATATGAATATATACAGCCTTCAACTCTGAAGTCTTCTGCAGGTTGCTGCCCCCTCCTAAACTTCCTGGAATAGCAGAATTGAAACTTAACCTCTGATAGATGCTACATCATCCTGGGAACACGGCCAACCTCAGGCACAACACCATCATGAGCCAAATTAAAAAAAAAAAAATCATGAGACTGGCTTCAAATATTGAGCTAGCTAGATTGATTTGGGTCTTTTTAATGTGTCTTTACTTTCTGAGCCTTGAGGACACACACAGGTCATGTTTTCAGCCTTTTTCTGCAAACTTGAGGACTTAAAACACTTTTTACATGAAAACTGATGGTGCATTTACACTATAGAGCCTATGTTGACATGGCTGTGAGAACATAGTCCCCTTAGATGCAGCTTATATGCACAGAAGGAGTGTTTCTGTTGGCATAACAATACCATCTCCCCAAACAAATCCCTCTTAGTCTCAACAGCCCTGGTCTACACTAGGGAGTTATTTCAAAATAACTCCCTTTATTTCAAAATAGCAAGTGGATCATCCACACTACCAAAGCCATTATTTCGAAATAACAGGCTGGTTATTTTGAAATAAAAACTCCTTCTTTCCATGAGGAATAAAGCATATTTCAAAATTGTTATTTTGAAATAGCGTGAGTGTGGATGCTCAGCTGCTGCTATTTTGAAATAATTAGCCTCCAGAGGCCTCTCACAGTCGCACTTGTGGCTGCTCTGGCCACAGACCTAACGTCTCCACTGCCCACCTTCTCCTGCAGAGCTTCAAGCATCAGGCTTAAGGAAAAGGGCTTTTGGCACGTGTGGACCTTTTACAGCCCCATGCCACACAGCACCTATCCCAGGAGCCCTGTTTGACACCAGCACTCCCTCTGAACCCCCCACAGCTGCCAGTCTCCCACACCACCATCGGCTGCCCTGGCCAGGGACAAAAGAGGGCACAGGCCTGGACTGGTGTGGAGATCCTGGACCTCATTGAGGTCTGGCATGAAGAGACCAACCTCTAGGATCTCTGTACCAGGAGGGGAAATGCTGATGTCTGTGGCTGGTTGGCCGCCAGTCTGGCTGAAATAGGACACACGCAGACCCTCATCCGGGTCCGCATGAAAAGAAAAGAGCTCTGGCAGGCCTACAAAAATCCCAGGGAGCAAACTGGATGCTCTGGGGCAGCTCCTCACACCTGTTGCTATTACGAACAGCTGGATGCAGGTCACCTCTCCGGACACCTTTTGTCATCGAGTCCAGCCAGGATATGCCCAGCATCAGCCTCCACGAGGGCGGGGTTGTGAAGGACAAGGATGAGAAGGAGAAGGAGCAGGCCACCATGCCCGTCTGCTAGGAGCTGCTCCTCATCCTGGAGCCAGTCCTCTCCTCCCAGGATTTCTCCTCTCAGGATGTCTACCAGGCCTCAGATGATCCTGGCGAAGGCACTTCTGTTAGTTCTATAACTTTCCCTATGCACATGTGGGGTAGGTGGCACGCTGTGAAGAGCTGTGTGCTCCTCGCTTAACCTCCTCAGCCTGGGGAGGGAGGGGGGGTTTGCACAACAACCTGTGCACATGCGTGCACATGGAGTGCCAGTCCAGAGCATTCAGCTCCATGATGCTCTCACACAGGAACCCCTCGGTCCTTCTCACAAGGTTCCTGGAGAGTCCTGCCTTATTCTGGCCTCCATGGTGGGACACACCTTCCCATAAAAGCCACCACTATGGAGCATTGGGTCATGGAACCACACAGCAGTGCTGCACATGGCACAAGGTCATGCTCGCACTCAAGCAGCATCCTTTCCTGGTCAAGTGCGGCGATGAGGAGACCGATCTCGTGATGGGAACCTGCCTGAAGAAAGAAGAGGAAGGGATCCCAGTAATACTCTCTCTGGCAAGCAGCCTCTGCTGCTCACGCACACCTGCCCCAACACTGCTTCCCCTTCCTTCAATGGGCAGGGATAGAAGTTCTCTCTCTCTGCAATCAGAAGACCTGTCATTTTCCTGGCTTTGTGACCATGAGCAAGTCCCTTCACTTCTGTGTGCCTCTGTTTCCCTACCTATAAAACAGAGATCATTCAGGTGTCATTTATTGTTCCCATTTTACAAGGTGGGAGACTCAGTTGGGACCTGCCTACACTACAGGACTGTAATGCATTTGTTATCCATTGATCTCCCCATGTGTTGTTCAGAGCCTATGGATAACACAGCTCCTGAGCATGTGTTCTGTGCTTAGCCTCAGTGTAAGAGCAGGGCTGGAAGGCCTTTTCCTGTTGAGCTGTAAGGAGCAGGTACTTGGTACTAGGGCTCTGAAGAGGCTCTCAAGAATTAATTGTTTTAATAATTGCTATCAATGAACTGGAAGCCAGTATAAAACCACTGCTGGTAACAGATGTGGGTAACAAAATGGTAGCAGAGAGGTAAATAAGGCTGAGGCCAGGACAATGATATAGAGCAATCTGGATCCCTTGGGAAGCTGGAGACATGCAAATAAAACAGATTTGCCAGAGCCAAATGCAAAACCCTTGCCCTAGTCCAAAAGCATGCAGGCCACACCCCAAGAATGGGGAATTATATTCAAGCAAGCTGGGATTCTGAAAAAGATTTAGGTGCCATGCCAGGCAAGCTGCTCAACTGGAGATCGCAGGGTGGTTCTATGGTAAACTGGGCTAAAGCCATCATTAGACACATGAGTAGAGGAGTGAGCAGGGCAGGAAGGTGACATGGCATCCATGAGACTGAGACTGGAATATTGCCTGTTCTAGGAGCCACATTTTAAAAAGATGTTTAAAAATTGCAGATGGGGCAGCAAAGAGCCACATGCTTTGAGAGCTGGAGAAAAATGACTTCTTGTGAGCTACTGAAAGGACCTCAATGTGTTTAGCTTCTACAAAAGAGGCTGAAAGGTGACTTCATTGAAGTGTCTAAGTGCCTTCCTGGAGAGAACATGTCAGCCATTAAATGGCTGTTTAATGTTGTAGAGAAAGGCAGAATAAGGCCAGTGGCTGGAAGGTGAAACTAAAAATAGGGCACAAATATTTCACAGTGAGGGTGCTTTGCTATTGGAATAAACTACTGAAGTAAATGATTGGTTCTCTATTTCTAGAGGTTTCTAATGAATACTGCATGTCTTTTTGGTATGTGCTTGGATCAAAACTTAGCTACTGTTATATACAGGAGGGTTGGGATACGCAGAGATCAGACTTGATGCTCTCATGGTCCCTTCTGACCTTTTAAAATCTACTAATTAATGAAAAACTGTGTGTGGCACTGGGAGCAGCCTCTAGGGCTTTGCTGTGCAGCTGGCTTCATCCCCAGTCTCAGCTATCAGTAAATTGGATCGTCCAGGGGAAGCCACTCAAACATCCAAAAAGGACACCAGCCTTATACAGGGGCATGGCAGTCACATCACAAAGGCCTGTTACAGGACCCCAGCCTATTGAGGAAAACTGGAAAGGAGATGGTGACCTCATAGAGAGACCCTGACATCAGCCAGGCAGAACAGAAGCGCATGGCAGGGCAACGTCAGACACTCCCATGGCTCTGCGGCAGCAAGGCTCCTTCTTAAGGTCTCTTCTTGGGGACTGAGAGAGAATTAGGATTTATCTATGTGAGCATGAGGAACCTCTGCCAGAGTTTTCTCCTTCCCTACTATGGTTTTTGTAGTCCCTGTTTAGAAGGTAAGAGCCTCAGAGAGGTTTGGAACCTATTTTGTCTAATCCACCTGGAAACTAGCTGAATTCTAGACCCAGAAATCACTCAGTTAAGGTGATCTGATTTCCTACCAAGGACTCTGTCCTGTAGAATCACTGGGGTTATTGGGGGTTTGTCCTTTTTAGTTTCCCTTTTCCTCTTTCCTTCCTTCTCTTGACCCTCTTCCTTTCATCCCTCTTTCCACCAATGAGGGGTGTACCGGTGTGTGTTGATATGTGTATATATAAGGGGACTGTTAGCCCCTTACGAAAACTCTGTGGGAGTTTTTGGTTTGCCAGCTCCCAGTATCAAAAGGGGAAGGGTCCATGAGAAATCAGGGCCCTGAGACTGACAGACCCCAGAGACAATGGAAAGCAGCCAACCCTCCAGCTTGGCCTGATTGACAGGTTGGACAGGCCAGTAAGGAAAGTAAGAGGCCAAGCCCCATCCTCCTCCGTGGGAGCTGGAATTTTTCTGGGTCTCTCTAAGCAAGGAAAGAGAGCTAAGAGGAGAAAGCTGTGTGGAGAGGCAGTCCTGCAGCAACAGAGCCAGGCACACACAGCCCAAGGAGCGCAGACCCAGTGTTGAGCAGCAGACTGGCAGTGATCAGAGAGCCAAAGGGGACAGAGAAGCAACACAAGGAGCTGGAGACTGGCAAAGCAGCACAGCCTGCAGCTGGGTGTGGTGAGCAGCTGGGACCAGCAAAGTGGGGGGGAGAGGCTCTGGGCAGGGAGACACCACCAGTCAAGAGGCCCAGCAGGCCAGACTGGGAGAGAGGTCTTGCCCCCTAGAGCCTGAGGCCATGTGGTCACTGCCAGAGCAAGCGTGTCCAGCCTGTAGCCCCCTGCAGCACGGTCAGGATCTATAAGGGACCTATAAGGAACAGACTGTGAACTGTCCCTACACTCTGCAAACTGCTGTTTTGATGTCCCCATGCTACAGAGCAGGACTGTGTGTTCTCATTTACCCATTCTCATTTTTTCTTATTCTTTTCTCTTTAATCAGTTGATGTTTAATAAATTGTATTTGCTTTGAACTTTATGAAATGATCGCTGGGCCAAGAAAGCATGCAGTGTGAAGAGAGCACCCCGGAGTGGGGACACCCTATCCCTTGCCCCAAGTGACTACAAGGTTGGGGATTAAGCCCCAGGAAACCTGGGCCCAGCCTTCTTGGGCTTTCAAGGACTCTGCTACTCAGGAGAGTGGAAGGGGAGCCCTCAGGATCAGGGAGGCCGTGAGGTAAAGGAAGGGGGAGCAGGGACTCAGATCCTTTCGTTGGTCCATTTCACTGGGGTAGTATAGAAGCCAGGAAAGTTCCCCACAATAGCGGGACCATTCCCCCGCTTACATGTAGGAGGATGCTGTCACTGTGGGAGGTCCTCACAAAGAGGTGGGGCTGGAATTTCTCAGAGACAGATCTCCTCTGGTGGTAATCTGGGCTATCCTTCAGGACATCTGCTGAGACCCCTCCTCATCCCACCTCTCAGAGTCTCGATGCTGATTGATAGAGCCCTGCAAATCCACTTTATATCTGTGGGTACCCAAACCTGCAGATGTGAATGCGGATATCCGCCGCTTATTTTTGTGGATACAGATGCGGATATGGATATACATTTTGTATCCATGCAGGGCTATACTGATTGACCAAGAAAGACTCAGGCCCTTTTGTTCTCCTTTAAGACCAAACAAATAAATCACAAGCAATCATGTATTTGATTGTGTTGCTTTCCTCCATTTATTGTCTCTGTGCAATTCCTGATGCTCTCTAATGCGCCAGTTCTTTTGAAATACTTGCAGAATGAGGACTATGAACAATTGTTGGTCTGTAGCTCACTAAGAGCACTTTATTCTGATGAGTCTGTGTCCCCCAATGGGCTGGCTGGGGGGGGGTAAATCACAAGCAATCATGTATTTGATTGTGTTGCTTTCCTCCATTTATTGTCTCTGTGCAATTCCTGATGCTCTCTAATGCGCCAGTTCTTTTGAAATACTTGCAGAATGAGGACTATGAACAATTGTTGGTCTGTAGCTCACTAAGAGCACTTTATTCTGATGAGTCTGTGTCCCCCAATGGGCTGGCTGGGGGGGGGGGGGGGCGGGACCAAGAGACCCAGACTTCAGCCAGGCTGGACAGTGAGGCAAGGCAGAGACAACTTCAGGTACCCTTCTTATGGCTTTGTGGGAGGCCCTCCCAAAAAGGTGGGGCTGGAAGAGTGCTCTGAGACTGATTCCCCCTAGTGGTGACCTGGGCCATTCTTTGGGATGTCGGGTGAGACCTCTGAGTCTTGATGCTGAATGGCTGAGCAGGGGCTAGTGCGTGGAGGAGAAGTTTTCCCAGTTTCCCAATTGTGACCCCTGGCTGCCCTTCCTTTGTAGGCTGTGCATAAGGTCTTGTCTGACCTTAGGCATGCCATGCTGGGAAACAGACAAGCTCCAATACATCTTGGAGGTGAGCATGATCAGGAGAGGCAGGAGACAGTTTTACTTTAGTGCTTGGGAGAACTGGAAAGGAGAAATTGGAAATCCATTTTCCAGTTTGTCATCCTAGCTTGCACCCCATTGGGTCATCCTTGGTCAGGGCAATCAGTGCAGAGCTAAGCGGGTCCCTTCGTCTGTCAGGGACAGGGAAGGGAGTTGGAACTTCAAGTCAAGGCTCAGGCTGGCTTTGAGAGTGACAGTCTTAAACCTCCCACCTCTTCCCAAGTTCCCTCTGTACCCACATGAAATGCAGGAGATGATGCTCATGGAATAGTCACAGACTCCTTCCTAGAGATCCATGAGGGCTCAGAGGGATTCAGCTTTTCTCTCATACTGGCACTGAGATTCAGGAGAGGGAGGGAGGGGTCCTCATAGTCACTCCCTTCATCTGAATAAGGACTTTTGAGCCAGGGAGGAGCAAGTGGGCTATATCCATCCAGATGAGCTGTTCATAAATGAGTTCAGAAAGAACAAGACCAGCCCAGACACCAAGCATTGTCCCAGTCTACAGAGACAAAGACACATTGTGACAATCCCCTTCTCAAGCACCATGACCACAATGTCTCAGCCCCAAGAATGAGCATGGGCTTGTTTGCACAGCATGTGCACCAGTCTATTAATCCTGACCTGCTTCCTTCCACCAGAGCCTACCAATTTCTACATCAGGTCCAGTGTCCCAGGAGAGAGCCAAGGCCATATGGAGCAGCAGAGCCCTGTTCTGATTCACCATCATCCTCCCTGAATTTGATGGTAAGTGACCTCTGAGCCCGGCTCCCTGACTCCAGCTGTAGGCAGGCTGGCTCCCACAGGATCGGCAGTTGCAGAGGCTGTGGGTTGGCACCATTTCCCTTGGGAAGGCAGAGTCAGAGCAAGGAATGAAAGAGACTTGAGTCAAGTTCATCTTCTCCTGGGTCAATGAAGACTCTGGACCTTTAAAGGGACCATGTTCCAACACCTGCTTCAGCCAGGTTCATGTCTGGCCTTGGGTCCCTTCTTGTTGTCCTGGAGCAGCTGGGAATAGAAGTCGTTATGGAGGGCCCTGTCCACATCCCTTTGTTCCAGGATCCTTTGGGGGCAGAAGAAACTGAGGATCTATCTCTAGCTTCTCTCCCCTGGTGTCTCCTGCAGAAAGACTTGGGGGAGAAAGACTTCCTGTCCTGTGGAAGATTGGGATCTGACAGGAGAATGCTGATGAAGCCTCCTCTTCTCCTCCATTAGAACTCAGCATAGTTCCCCAAACTAGGGAACTTGGTGGTTTGGCTGTCACTGTACATCAGTGACCCAGACAAGGACATCAGTCGACTGACCAGGGAGGGGATTTGATGGCTCTACAAACTGCTGCTACATCACAGGCAAGGAAACCCAGCTTGAAAATAGAACTCAATAGAAGTGACACTAATCAAAAACAGGCAATGGGACCCGTAAAGAAATGACCCCCCTCATTGGCCCCAGCTGGAGGATGAGTCTATATCTCCTTCCCATACTTAGTTTAGGATCAATCCCACCTCTTCAGGCATCCAAGTGTATGCCACTCACCGTAGGGAGCTCTGCTATTCTATTGGGGCAGGGATGCAACCCAATGGGAATGGAAGAAAAGCTTCCAAAACCAGACAGAGAAATCTACCAAAAAGAAGCTGCTAAGGAACAGCTATCATAGGTAGATGGAGGAAATGAAGGCAGGAGCTCCTCCTACCGTGGGACAAGGGGTCCCTGGCACTAGAGGTCACTAGAGAAGAAGATGAATTTATCCCAGGGTGTCAGTTGCCATTAATCCTCCCAGATTCCTGGGGGCAGCCAAGTCTCTGACAAGTCCTTGTTCTTTTGAGACAGGAGGACATCATGGCCAAGGTGATGTGCCAGCTCCACTTCATCTGATCCTTTCACCAAGTGCCTGAGGTTCTGTGGGGAATGAGCCTTTTAGGGTGCCTCTGATGAGATGTAGAACCCTACACTGGGCCAAGAGGGGTTAGGAAGCAGGCCTAGGATGCTGCCCATCAGGCTCGAGGCTGTCATGGGATGTATGTTCCTGCATGCTAGCTCAGAAACCAAAGGTTTAATACAGGCATTGCCAGACACTGCTGATTGGTAGGCTAACAGCAGCTGGGAGGATCAAAGGGCTAGGAAGGAGACTGGCAGGGCAGCTAAAGAGGAGTGAACAGGCAGAAGAAAGGAACTCGGGCCAGCAGACTGCTAGAGAACCACCCAGGGACAACATCCCTAAAAGGGGCAAAGAGGCCCAACAGACCAAACTCCCTGATGGACCTGAGAACAAAGCAGATTTCCAGATTCCTAGGCATGAGGAGTGGACCTACGCTGATTATTTTCAGGAATAACGGCATTGCACAAGAGGGTTTTTCTTGCGCAAGAAGGGGCAGGGTAGACAGCTCCTTCTTGCGCAAAAGCCTCTTCTGCAAAAATGGTGGCTCATTAGATATGCAAATGAGGCTCGGCGATATTCCATGCTTAGCCTCATTTGCATAGCTCTGGTGCAAGATTGCGCCAGTGTAGACATAGCCAAGGTGTGTGCATGGGGTAACAATACAGCACAAAGGAAATAACCAAGCTCTCAAAAGTAATTAAAAAACATGTTAAAGAAGCAGTTTAAAAATACTGAAAAACCAGGGAGGTAAAAATACCTATTATATAGCGATTATAAATAAATACTAATTACTTAACTAAGTTCTCATACTATGAAGCAGTCTTACAATTTGGGAGCGCATGGTCTATCCATCCTGTCATGTAACATATTCAAGGCTAGTAATCTTTGCTTCCAAATTCTGTGGATTAATACAACTGAATTTTCTATGTTTAAGGAAATTCTTGTTCTTTAGGGGCCAGCAGTAGTTTTCCATTTGATTCATTAGGACTAGGATTTGTCCAAGCACTGAACACTTCAGAAATAGATAAAATATCAGTGAATGGGATTTACATGTGTGTTTAACTCCTTTTTTTAACTTAAGTGAAAAAATACATTCATCAGTTGCAGGGATAGCTGATTGTCGCTAGTCTCTGCAACAGTTCAGCATAGTCTCAACGGTACTTGTGTGGGCAACTATTTTGAGGTATCCACAGCATTTATAGTTGTGATTCCAGTAGGGTATGGTCCTAGAATCCAGTGTTTTAAAGAGGAAATGTATGCACAGCCCTAACTGGTGTAATGAGAACCCTTGTGTCTTGGTTCACTCCTCCTCTTGCTCTATGTCCTGAGTCCTAGGCAGACAAGGAGGGTGAGAGAAGAATTTGTATTGGCCCCACTTCTGCTGGGGGGGAGAGCCAGGCTGTGGCGCTTCTGGCCTGGCTCTCAACGCAAGTGGGTGGGTCCAAGAAAAGCCATTACCTCGCCCACCTTGTCTGTGGTATCCTGGGCCCACCAGCTGCAGCTAATTGTGGCGGAATGCCCCGCGGCGGAGAGCCAGGCACCTCCAGGGCCAGGGGGCCGCAGGCGGGGTGGGAGGGAAGGAA